GAGGAATAGGAATAGGAGAGGAATAGGAGGAGCAGGGGGGGGGGGGGGGGGAATAGGAGGAAGAGGAGGAGGAGGAGAAGCCAGAGAAAGCAGGAGGAGCAGCAGCTAGCCGACGGGGCGAGGTGCGCTTAGAATGCGGCGACGGCCGCACCCGATGTGCTCTGCGCCCCACCTGCTAAGTAGTGGTCTGCCTGAGGCCCGCTGGCGAAACACATCGGTGGCCTGCCTTTCCCGCCGCCCACACCCGTCGGCGGCGGACGCGGCGGGGTCGGTGGAGCCTGCGCGTGGGCCCAGCGGCGGCGGCCTTTCTCCCCGGTGGCGGCGGTCGGCCAGGGTCTCTTCCTTCTCCTCCTCCTCCTCCTCCTCCTCCTCCTTCTCCTCCTCCTCCTCCTCCTCCTCCTCCTCCTCCTGCTCCTCCTCCTCCTGCTCCTCCTCCTCCTCCTCCTCCTCCTCCTCCTCCTCCTCCTCCTCTCCCCCGCGCTCGCGGCCCGCGGCCCGCTTCCCGACGACCTCCCAGAACCTGTGGTTCGTCGCATCCCGCCTCAGGCCTGCGGGGCAACGGCCTCTCAGCCACGTTGGCATGACAGTCCAGGGGCCTGGTCGGGCGTGCCGAGGGTTCCGCTGCCTGCTGCCACCTCACGTGTTGACCGATGCATTGTTTTGAGCTCCACGCCTCTGCCCTGCTTGACGCTTTCCCTCGCTTGTCGCGTGGTGGCGCCTGCCCACTGTCAGTTGAAAGGCTCCGAGCGAGCTGGATGTCCGCCTCCACCCCAGAAACCAAACCGCCCTTTGGTAGCTGTGCTTCTGGACGTGTCCGACGGAAACGGGATGGCACACCCTTCGGGGAACGGCTTCGATGCTCCGAGGAGTCCAAGTGGTCGCGCGGGTGAGAGGGTGGGGACGGAGGCGGAGGCGCGCCGTGCCATATCTCATTGCAACGCCGAGGACGGAGGAGGACGGAATGAGGAGGAGGAGGAGGAGGAGGAGGACGGAATGAGGAGGCGGAGGAGAAGGAGGGGGGGGAAAGGGACAAGGACGAAATGGGGATAAGGAGGAGTAGGAGGAAGAGGAGGAAGAGCGAGGGGAGGAGCAGGAGGAACACGAGTTCGCACTGCAGCCCCGAGAGCGAACTCGGAGAGGGCTGTTGAGACAGTGATCCGACACTGTTCGGGATATCAGTTTTTGAAGGCTTCCTCTGCTGCCACAGACGTACCAGGCAGGAGGGGCAATCGGGGAGAGGCAGGATTGTTGATAACCGAGCCGCAGCGCGGACTTGTTTCACAGGTAGACCGAACCACCTTGATCTCTCCCAGGCGGGCAGTGCAAAGCAGACCGCTCCCAGCTGGTCGACCAGTTCGCCTCGCTCTCCGCGGAGGCAGCGGGAACCGGCCGACGTCGAGTCCTGCTGTGCGTCGTGTTCGGCCAGCGCACAGCATGTGCACGTTCGCGCGAGTGCGTGTGGGCGCGTCCAGCCGAGCTGCACCATTCTGGGCATATCGTGGTCGGCGTGCTTGAAGACTGCGCCGGTTTTGGCCAGATCCAGGGCTCGGGAGGAGCCCGAGGTCCTCGTGCTTCTCGCCGTCGCCTCCCAGAGCAGCGGCGACGTCGCCTCTCCCGCGCATACACAGCTTCTCACGCACAGTAGTTCGTTGTTGCATGTGTCATGTGTGCCCAGGCATCTGTCGCTCCACGATGCGTGGACGCCTGTTGGTCTGGACGATTTCCCTGGCTCCTAGAGGCCGAGCGCTGCCCAAAAACCGGCCGCTCCGATCTCTATTCGGATTGTCTTCGGCTTGGCCTCTCTCGTATCTTTATAAGGCCTTACGGTCGGTGCCGCCGACCCTGAAGACGACGACGACGACGAATACGAGGAGAAGGAGGAGGGGGATTAAGGTGGAAGGGGGCAGGAGAAAGCGAAGGAGATGTTCCCCATTTGGGCCGAGGGAGTCGTAGCAGAGACAGACAGGGAGCCTTGTGGCCTGCGGCCCTTCCCGCCACCGTGCTGGGGTTGTGGTTGAAAGGCCTCTTGGATGCTCTCGGGCCTGTTGGGGCCTCTGTTGGGCCTCTTGGGGGCCTCTTCGGGCCCCTTGAAGGGCTCTTGGGGCCTTCCGGGGGCTTCTTGGGGCGGGAAGCTCGAAATGTCGGTCCGTGGTCCTCTTCTTGGGCCTGCTTGGGGCCCTCTTGGGGCATTCTTGGGTTGTCTTGAGGTTCTCTTGGGCCGTCTTGGGGCCCTCTTGAGCTGTCTCGGGGTCTTCTTGGAGGCCGCTTGGGCACTCTTGGACCTTCTTGGGGGCCTCTTTAGGCCACTCTTGGCGCGTCTTGGCGCGCTTTTTGGGGCTCCGGGACGCCCAGGGGCGGATGCGTATCTGACCCCCCCCCCCCCCAGGACCCCCCCGGGACTCCCCCTCGGGACCCCCCCCCCTCGGCGGGTGAGGGATCAAAGGGAAGGGGCTTCCCTTCGACTTTGAGCACGACGTTGCTACGGTTTTCTCTCGCTGACCGGCTTGAAGAGGAGGGTGCCGGGAAAGGGGGCGACGGCAGGGAGAGAGGTCGACGGATGCGTCGACAGAGCGCACGCCGACAGGGCGTCCCCACACGCCAGCAGGGTGGGCGGATGTGTTCCGCTCGGATCGTCGCCGGCCGTCCCGCAGGGGGGCGCTCCGGCCTCGGCGTCTGCCACACGCCCGCCCCCCCCACGTTGGACTTGCCCAGGCTCGTGCGCACGGCCACACGGTCCCGCAGGAGCTCTGGCCGGTCGCGTCGCGCCGCCGCTTCCGGCCCACCACGCCTCGGCGCGACGCGCTAGCCGCCGCGCTTCCGTCTGGAACACCAATCGATCGAATCGAAGATCAACTACAAAGTATTCACCGAGTTCAAAAAGTGATTTTCCCGTCGAGTAGGCAAGGAACGCATGGCATGCTCGCGGATCTACAGAACACGATGCGCATGCTGTCCCAAGAGAGTCAACGTCATGAGCCGTTTCCAGCCCCTCGCCCCGCGGAGCGGAGTGGCAGCCATGTGCGCTTGGGAGGACGAGCGTGTCGCCGGGGCCGGCCTCGCGGCACGCTCTGCAAGAGTTCCCGGCGACGGCTTCTCGACGTCGGCGTTGTTTACAGCGGCGAAAGCGGGGAGCACGGGGAGATCTAGCCGAAGTCGGCACGTTTCCCCAAAGCGCTAGCCTCAGCATCCCCAGCATGAGAAATGTCGAGCGATATTTCGACCAACGCCCATATGTGGCGTTCCAAAGAGGGCCTCGTCGTCGAGGAATCGAGAATTCGAGATCTCTTCCTCGGCGGAAGGCCAGCGGAAGGTCGCGGAAGGAAACCGAGGGAACATCCACTTGCGGAAGGCCGGCGGAAGACGGCGGAATTGAATGATGCCGCCCCAGGAGATGACATTTTGCGGGGTGTCAGGGTCTCTGAAGCTGGCCATGTGAGTCTTGCTCAGGTCGCTCTGAGCACGTGCCCTCGAGGCCGAAGGCAGATGTAGAGGGACGGGTTGGACACCCGCGCAGGGGGGGTGCGACGCGCGCAGCGAGAAACAGACTGCATGCATACGGATATGATCGGACAGAGATGTTCTGCTTGCCGCGCGCCCTGATTCGGGCCCTCTGTGGTACGTCTTTCCATCACGCGTGGCGGCACCAGCTTGAGCTGTGGGGGGGATGCTCCATGGCCCCTAAACCTGCAACAAAAACAAACATTCTTGCATCCCCCAGCGCAGAGCTGAGCAGAGCCGAGCCTCCTCTCTGACCGCCTTCCTTGGTTTCTGCCTCCCCTGAGGTCCAGGCGTAAGTCGGGCTCGTCCCTCTACAGGGGAAAATGAAAAAAGAGTCAACCAACAGTCTGGGGAGGTTTTTTGGGACTACCTTTGACCATTTGGGAGTATGTTTGGTTTATGGTTTATGTTTCGTCAAAAATCCCCCTGTGGGGGACAGGCCCGACCGAAGTCCAGGCGCTGAGGTGTTCTCCCACGGTGCGCCGTCGCTCGGCGTCGGGCTCCGTGGCTATCACAGACCGGGCCGGTTCGGACCATGCCGAAGAGGGCTGGGGTCCAGGACTCCAGCTGTGACTTGTTGGCGCGGTGCTGCCGTGTGTTCGCAACGTCGGACCTCAGGGTCATCCTCGTCGTCCTCTCCCAGTATAGTCGTCCTCCTCATCCTCACACAGCCTGCCTTGACCCTGGCCCCCTCGCGCCACAAATACCAGTCAAGGGTCAAGGCCTGATCCGGCATCTGGGCTGGAGAGCGGGAGAAGAGTGGGCACGATCGTGAGGAACGGGAAGGAGGGAGGGGCTAGGATGACAGATGTGGCGCGAGCGTGCCAAGCTTGCCTCTCCTCTCTCCTCTCCTCATCATCTTCATCCTCCTCGTCTTCTCCCTGGGGAAACGCAGCAGTTCGGCTGGATTTACTCGGTTCAAAGAAAGCATGTACTCACGGCCAGCCGCGACGGCTCGACGAAAGGTGAGAGAGGAGGTGGAGCAGCTCAACGCCAAAGGAAAGAGCCAAGGTGAGAGATAAGGAAAATTGGGGTGGGGGTCCATCCAAGGACAACTTCTGGGCCCCGCCCGAGGCTGCGATACACCTCGGACGGGTCCAGCCGACAGGGCACCCCACCCCCCAGAAGTCACCCGAAGGTATCCTCGGGCTGGGCGTCGCGCCGTACCCGCGCCTGTGTCCTTGGCTCCAGGGCTTGCATTCCGTCCCGCTCTGCCTCGCTACGATCGGCGAAACCAAACGCACGGATACTCACAGCCAGGTCCACCCGCGGCGGCGGTTTTTGCTGAAGAAACGGGTGGGTTTGTTCCCTCGCCACGTGCTCGCCAGCCACGGAATCCAGAATCCCCGAAGTGGCCTTCCCACTGGGTCCGAGACGAAAGTGACGGCAGTCGTCCATCCCCCAGGGCCACCTCGGGACGAGTCGGGCGTTTCGAGTTTCGCAGGCGATTCCGCGCGGTCAAGGCCTTACCTCCCGAGAGTTGACGAACACTAAAACATAAGCCTTTTGAGGCCCCGCAGGCCAGGAATCGCAGCGTACTGCCAGCACGAGCGACACAGCAGCGAGGGCTTCGACTCCGCCGCCTCGAGCACCTGGCGGTCCTCGATTAGCCGCGGGCCAGGGAGAGCAGCTGCGCTGCCCCAGAGGGCCTGGACCCCGAGCATTCCTGAGGCTCCTCGGGCTCGTCCCCCGAACCAGGAAAGGACCTGGGATAGGGCGCTTCAGGGGAGGCAAGCCCCAAGACCGACTTTCTATTGAAGTCTACTAAGGCAAGGCGGTCTCTAAGCTCGCGATCGGCCATCAGCTCCGAGACCTTGGCGACATACCTACCAACCTGAGGCGCCACCGTCCTGCACCCTTCCAATGAATTCACGTCATCGAGCTCCGAGCGGGCAGTGACGGCCCCCTTTTTGGCCCACTGGTCGGCAACGGCACTGCCCGCACCCTGAAAAAGGGAACCTTTGCTGTCTTGCACTGCTCGCTCCCAGCTGCGGGTTTTCACACGCACGGAGTCTCTTTGGACAAAGTCCTCGCGCGAGCGCACCCGCCTCCAGAGGTGCGAGCGAGGATTCGTGCTAGTTGGCGAGGCCCCTGGCTTGTGGCAGCACGAGACGGTCGCACGACAGCCGATCTGCACAGGTAAAGTGCCAACGACATGCGCAGCCAGCTGGACCGCAGCGCAGTCCTCGCCGTCTCGCGCGCAATGCTGCATTCCGAGATCGAGTGGCACCACGCCGCACAGGCCTCCAACAAATTGCCCATCAGCAGTAAAGAGCACGAGTGACCAGCCTGCCACTCGCAAAGTTGGGACACCCGCGTCAAAGCACGAGCCGTCACAGAACGCAGGGCCCCCTTCGAGCATGCATCGGGGCCCCGCTCCCGCCCGCTTGCAGCGCCATTCCGCCTGGAATGGGTTCCTCCCGGAGCAGACCCCGCGTCGCGAAACGGGCCCCAGGACAGCTTTCTCTTGCCAGGCATGCGGGGGACCAGGCCCGAGAGGTCATCACGCCGCCAGGCTAGGTCAGCCGCGCACACGAGCGCCCCGTGACGAACAACTGCCGCACCCAGCCGAGCACAAATTGGTGGTCTACGGGGAGCGTTTGCGCGTGTTGGTGCAGTCGCAATTGGCAGTGCCAGTCTGGCACCAGCGCGACCCGGAAATGAGACCTCGCAGATTCGCCGAACGTTCTGGCGGTGCACATCCCAAACCTGACTGGGCTTCAGACGCATAAGCTCTAGCACAGGCTTCAAGAGAACAAAATACAGGCGCACCGCAGCATCCATCTTTGACTCGCAGGAACACGGAGCGTCGTTCCGATGCCCCGCGGGTTGCCTGGGCCACTTGAATGGCAAGGCATTTTAGATGATACAACATCAGATTCTACGCCCGACCCCCCCGCCTACCACCCTCGTAGCCCCAAAGCAAATCTACCCAAACATTTGCGTCGATAAGACAAGTGCCTGCATTGAGTCCTTGCACGGGACCCAAGGTAGAAGCTTCCTAGCCTGCCCCTGGGCTTGCTCCATGAGCCCGTCCAGCACCTGGCGGCTCAAATGGCTGCCCCACAAAATACGACCGCATCGCTTGATGCCACCAGACGAGGCGAGAACGAGGGTGTCGTCCCAGTCGTCCCTCCACCCCGCCTT